GCCTAGACCCTTCATCGGGTCTAGGCCCGAAACGTCAGCCTTTCTGCTCCTATGGTGCTGCTTGGCCTGCTGTGTTCATCCAGCCCTGCACCTTGTTGTCTCGGATTCTCCAGCATCTGCAGTTCCTACTATCTCCAACTCATTTATCTAGTGTTTGCCTTAGAGGTGTTTTGGCTATTTTCCAATGGTAAAGCCCCCAAGATCCCTAAAAGTCTCTTACTTTTCTAAATAGTGTTTTCATTCAGCTTCTAACCACCTATTCAAATGCTACATATAGTGTTTTATTTCCATATTTCCTTTTATTTGTATGATGCTGTTTGATGGCATCATCCAAAAATTACCAAAGAGGGTATTTTTCAATACCCTGGCAACACGCAACTCCATTTTGCCAGTACTTTTCTTAACGCTTCCACTGTCTCTGAATTGTCAGACTGCTTTTCTGACATCTGTTACTGGCTGAGCAGAACTTCATTTGTATTAAGTGTTGTGGATGAATCCCTAATATGAACTAACACCAAACTGCTCATCAGGAACTCCAGCTTGTCAACACGTGCTGAAGGAACAAGAACATTGGTGTGGTTAGAAGAGAATGCAGTGCTTTGCTTCCTTGTCTTCAGATGTGGGAGCTTCTAAGTAAGTAAATGACGAGGAGACAAATGTCATTGTCTTTCAACCCCACTTGAAATTTTGTTTTATCATCACCACTCTTCTCCCTTGAAGCTAAGGCTGAACTAGACAACTTGCTACCTTGGTATTACAAATGATTCAGAGATAAACTTCTGACCAAATATTCATGTCATTGTTGTGATTGCCTGCCTCTGCCCCAGTCTTCGTTTAGTTCCCTGCTGGAGCTCACGTTTATATCTTTATTTCTAGACTTGATTATAGTAAAACACTACAGGCTTTCTACCCTTCTGAAACTTGATCTAGTTGGAACTTTTACCCATTATTTTAACTTTAGCTAAGTCCTGTTCACCTGTTGCTTATTCTTCATCCATGTTTTCAGATCCCATAAGGTTTTACCTCCTAGCCTTGTCCTCCCTTGCTTTGTAATCCTCACCATCTCTACAACTGTCTAAGATACATGATGTTCAATTTTGGCATTGAGCATGTTTCGCCAAACTTGTCAGAGCTACTTTTACGGCAGTTCCAAGATTGCAACCTCCAAATCCTTGAAGCACGTTAGCATTGGGTAAATGAAAATGCTATCACCTGCAGGTTCTTGATACGATCAAAATCCTGCCATTTCCTTTATGCAATATTGTGGAGTATATTCACCTGAATTGCAGTAGTTAAAGAATGTAATTGATAACCCCTATTCCTCATATTGCACCATTAACTATTTGCTTGCACTGTGTTGGCATTTTACAGCATTCTTTTGCAGGAACTGGTTTCTGCATCTGTCACAGTAGATGATCAACAATTATAAAGTCAAATTGGGCAGCCATTGGTCAATGAGGATAGAGTAGGATATTGGATTGACTTTGCCACACAAAAGTAGCATTGACTTGACAGGTTGAATGGCCTCCTTGTTTGATGTAATAACTTTATAAAGTAAATGCCCTCTACATTTATTTAACTAAGAGTATAAATGCAGTTCTGTGACCATAGTATGGTATCGCTCTTCGTCTGCAGCCTTTCTATTGTTGATAATACATTTTTCTCTGCCATCTCACATCAGTCTAATGTACCTATTCTTATTTGGTTCTATTTTCCATCTAGTTTTAGCCAGGGCATTTCCAGTAATTTCTTTTACTGCCCAAACAAATGTTATCTTCAGCCACTTCCCTTTCTGATCTACATGTTATCACTTGGTGATATTACTTGAAGATGAGAGATCTATTTCCAAATATTAGGTAACCAGCACCCAAGATTTAATCATCACCTCCAATTTCTTCACCATTGTCACTAAAAAATAGATGATCATTTTGAGCAGGTACTGTTTTGGATACAGTTTAGGTACATCCCAGCAACAGGAAAATGTAGGGGAGCTGGGATTCTTTGGATGATGAGAGATAGAGAATATGATGCCACCAAAAAAGGTGTATGATACACATCAGCTAAATTCATCAAGCATGGATTAGATCAAATTGAATAAGCTAACAGGAAATGAAGCACTACTGTCCAAGAATAACAATTAATAAAATTGAAGTGGAAATGAATGTACAAATCAACCCAAAAATATTCTGATAAGTAATGGAGTATAAACAGTACACAGCTAGTAAGAGATTTTAGGCCCTATTATGGGAAATGAAAGTGATGTATATTGATGGGTGCAGGCCAAAGCTAGAATACATGACGAGTACTTGAGTTGATACGTACTAAGGAAATAGACGCTTACAAAATATCAGTAGAAATGGAGATAGGAATAGTAGATGGAGTGAAAAAATAGACAAGCTATAGTGGTTGGGGAGGAATTAACACGTTGAAGATTGAGGATAGCTAGCATGTGATTTCATAATAGTTTTACAATCCCTGATGACACCACTAAATTTGTTGGGACATAACTGGGAAGAGTGCACTGATAATCAAGCCTCATTTTCTAGAAGCTATCTAAAATGTGTAAATATTAAGTTAAGCCACCAGTGTGGGTAATTCACCTGACTGAGTACTGCTATTCTGGACAGAAGCAATTCGCATCTGGTTTTGTATTTAACAGGAAAATAATTTAATTTATTGTAACATTGCAGAGAAAGAGGAGTACATATCTTCTACTACATGACTTAAACGATACCCCTTTAAATCTCAATTACACAGACACTCAATCATAAATAAGATAGTATCTGTGTCAAACCATACATCTTTTGATTATGTTTGAGGGGGAAAAAAATAGACAGGGTAAACAAAATTTTCGAGATTGAAAATCTTGATTGTGAGAGTAGGTCTCTTGGTTCTTTTGATTTTAGCAATGATGATATGGTGTTGTCTGTAAAGCAATGTTGTCTGTCATCTTGGTAGATCAGGTGGTCCTAGTTCTTTTGTATTAGATATTTTTTACGGTTCTTAGTTTTTCTGTCTTTCGCGCTGTCAAAAAAGAAGAACTTTTTTTTGTCTTTGGCTCAGAATGGTTCTGCTAAAGTTCCTGCTTGAGTCTGAAACAAGGCAAATTTGTTTCATATTGATACAAATATTGAATACAAAAGTAAAAAATTGCTGAACTTTTGTAAAGCTTTGGTTAGGCCGCAATTGCAGTATTACACAGTTCTGGTTTCCACACTTGAGAAATGAATTGAAAGCTACTT